TGGTTAAATTCCAGAATCAGCACTTCCATTCCATCCCCAACATTTAAAATTTTGCTTTTGAGGGAAGTTCTTCCACAGACCCATGAGGAAAACCATTTATTTCAATGGCAACATAATTAAATTAATTATAAATTCAGGGCTTTTCTTTTTTATTTCCAGCCCCTTATTTCTATCTTTTCACCTCACAAAGTTCAAGGCTGGTTCAACTCTGCGATTTTAGTTAATCCTCAAAAATACCAGAATGCAGGAATATGAACAACCTGGAGCAGTCTGGTCCAGTGAAGGGTGCAACAACCCCTTGAACTYGGTTGCTCTTAAAAAATAATCCTTAAAATAAAATTTCAGAGAAGCCTGGATGATACTGGAACACCCAGGCTGGCTTTGGATTCAYCCTAATGTTAGTGGGAAGCCCTTTTTTCCCAGTTTAACGAGGCTGAAAACGGGGGAGGAAAAGGTGAGGAGAACAAAATATTTCCCGTGCTTTGATTTTCCCGCTCGTGAAAAAATATTTTCGTTTTTCCCAGCCCAGGTTTGAAGCTACCACTGCAGCCACAATTAATATTCCACCTTCCAAAAAGAAGGGGGAAAAAAGGAAAAATTTCCTTGCCCACGGATTCCCAGGGAGACATTCCGCTCCGATCTGCAATTAGCGGTGGCCTCAGGCAAACAAGCGAAAATAGAAATGTTATTTTTGGAAYGGTGATAGCCACTGCTCTCTGCTCCCCAGAACACCCGCTCCTCCTGCTCTGCACTGCCATTAAAAATAGAATCCTCAACTGGACAGAATCTGCTGCTGCCTTGGGGTTTCTCCTTCCTGCAGGACACACGTTCCAGTGCCACCAGCATCGGGAATTCCATGGATTTCTCATCCTGCCAGGAATCAGTGATCAAATCTGAAATAYTGCACTCAATATTTGAGGCAGGGCACATGTTCCAGTGTCTCCAGTGTCAGGAATTTTATGGATTTCTCACTCTGCCAGGAATCAAATCTGAAATATTGCACCCAGCGTTGGAGGCAGGACACACATTCCAGTGCTACCAGCATCAGGAATTCCAGGGATTTCTCATCTTGCCAGGAATCAGTGATCAAATCTGAAATATTGCACCCAACGTTTGAGGCAGAGCTGTGTCTGCTCTGAATTCTCCTTGTCCTGCTGACAGCAGAGCAGATGTGAACAGGTCCCAAGAGCTTCACGCCTCAGAKCCTGACCCAAAACCTGTGGAAGCCACTGAAGATCTCCCTTCTTATTGCAGAGGGGGGGGAATTCTGGTTTAAACGATCCATAAACACCTGCCCGTGGGCCACAGAAGTTCAAAGGGCTCAGAAGCACCTCTGCTCTCCAAGATATGGGGCACCCACGGCTTCTCTGGGGAAGGATTTCTCCCCAATATCCCATCCATCCCTGCCCTCTGTGACCCCATTCCCTGTGTCCTGTCCCTCCATCCCTTGTCCCCAGTCCCTCTCCAGCTCTCCTGGAGCCCCTTCAGGCTCTGAGCTCTCCCTGGAACCTCCTCCTGTCCAGGATTTACAGGATGACCCTTAAAATCCACACCTTGCTTGGCCAGAGCTGGGATGGAGCTGCCATGGTCACAGAGATGGATAAAGGGCCTRGGGGCTTTTCCCACTGGGAAAATCCCGAAAATCCTCCCCTCGCCCTTCATTCTGTCATTCTCCTGCAAAGCCTCGCCTCAAAAATCCGCATTTCCAGCCTCCTCGAGCACCAGGCTCAGGGATCCAGCCGGATCCACCGGGATAGAGCTGTCACCTTTGTAAACCCAAAGCTGGCCGTGCCCGGGGCCGCATTTCAGCCCGCAGAGGGGATCGCAGCCCCGGCTCAGCCTCTCCCCCGCCGCTCCCGCAGCTCCGASGGCTTGGAGAGGGAAGGCAGCAGGAGGGAAGAGCGGGCACATCAGCTGGTAACAGTTCAGAAACAGATGTACATTCCTGCGCCGAGCTGCGGCCCGAGCGTATCCGGTTACTTTGGGGCCGAGCGCCTCATCCCTAAAAAAACCCCGCTCCCCGCGCCTCCCGCCTCTTATCAGCTCTTTTGCTTTTGATCAGGGACTTGAGGACAGGACACAGCACCCGCGACATCAGGGATGAGGGGACAAAGCCCCGAATCAGCAGGGACGCACCCGGCTGACCCCCAAAAAAGGGGAAGGTGCCCGCAGCGGGTCGTCCTAAAGCACTGAGGAATTATCCCTTAAAAAAGGAGSGGGGGAATTACTCAGCTTGATTAGAGGTGGCTCGATGCTGGATGCGTTTTGGGGCTGGGATGTTTCTGGGAGAAGGGATGCTCTGCTCGATAGCAGCGGGTGGCGAGGAGGGGAAGGCAAAAAGCACAACGGGGTCTGGTTTTCCTCCACTTTTCTCCCAAAATCGGTGTCCCCGGCAGAAGGGAGCGGGCAGAGCAGCCTGGACACGTTGAGATGGTGCCACCTGCGCTGTCAGGGCACCCAAACCTTTCCCGCTGCCGAGGGAAGGCTGGCAGGACGCAGAAACCCAGACCKTGACCCCTGGGTGATTTTCTGGCCAAGCCCTGCCGAGGGGACAACTGGAGCAGAACAAGCACTGACCCCAGACCCCGATCTGCATCACAAAAAAAATCCAGAAGCGCGGTCACGGCCCTGCAGCAGCATCACAGTTCMAACAGGGCATCAAACTCCCAACAGAATTGGGTTTTTTTAATTTTCCAACCTCTCCGCCGCTGCAGCAGGCATGACGCCCCCGCGCCCGGCGCGGTGCCTCCCCCACCATCCTTCCCAAAGTCCCTTTTCCTCCAGGAGAGCCGGATCGGATTTCAGCCGAGGCAGGGACAGGGACAGGGACAGGGACAGGGACAGGGACAGGGACAGGGACAGGGACAGGGACAAGCTCCACTCCAGGGCAGATTTTGGCACGATTGTCACCCAGCTTTGGCACCAAGCAGCGCACGGACCGCGCCGACACGCGCGGCAGCTCCGGAGCGATGCTCACAGACCCCGAAATTGCCCCACAGCGGAGCCCCAGCGTAAATTTCCCCTAATTTCCCCTAAATTTTGCCCTGCCCGATGCTAAACGGCTAACGGTTTCGAGGTTATGCACAGCGGCGATTCCCCGGGGGAGAAATCCTCTCTCCGTYCGGCAAACGGGATTGCAGAAGCGAGGAGGGTTTTTATTTAATTTATTTACTTAATTTAGGGATTTAACCGGGAGGAGAGAGGGGCTGAATGATGKCGGGGCCATAAAAATCTGGAAAAGGAGACCCCAAAACAAATYCACACAAACCAAATGCCCCTCACAAGGGGTTGTGTGCCATCCCAGCCCACTCGTGCCCACCGAGCTCCAGATCCAGAATGTTGGATCAGCCCTCGGACCCAGCCCTAAACCATCCTAAAAACCTGGAGTTGGGGCTCACCGGGGCCTTAAATGGGATTAAAAAGCCATTTGCAGCACGGCCTGGCTCTCCAGCTCCTGTGCTGCACCTGAAAACCTTTCCTTTGGAAAGCAAAGCCTGGCTGTCCCCGGGGGCTGCCTGCGGAAGGCTTTCCACTACAAACATCACCTACCCTCAGCACAGCCAGCCCCAGGCCAGCCAAAAATTCCTCCTCCTACCCAGGAACCTTTTCCAATCTCACCAGGCCGTTATTTTTTTTTCCCCTTAATGAGTGTTGATACCTAGTGGAAACCTCGGCAAAAAGAAATCCGCTCCAAACTAATTCTTCTGACACAACCTTGGCGTTTTACRAGTTTCTTTTGTCTTGTTCCTTGTTATTATGATTTTTGTTCCGTTTTATTTCCCTGYCCCGCATTGCAAACACGATCTCTGCTGCTCAGGAATGCATCTGCTCCTGCAATTTGGGCTGTGACCGAAATCAGAGGTCCAAACCTGATTTTTTTTCTCTGTCTTAGCTCCACGAGCTTTTCCCACATTTCYCTCCTCACCAGTGTGATGGAGAGGGGAAAAAGCAACCTGCTGTGTCCTGTTGGATCGATCAAAAATGCTGCCATCACAAATTCTGCAGCAGGATATTCTGGAGCAGGAAAAAAAAGTCAAAATGACCCCCTACCTACCTCAACTCCTGATTGACTAAAATTTAGAGTTTAATGGAGAGGGCAAAGCGAGGAGAAAATGGGAGGAAGATGGGCCAGTGTCACCTTCCAGGGTCCTCTCTATGTTTTGTCCATCAAATAGGAGCTGCTTTCCAGCAGATCCGTATTTTGGGTTTGTCCAGGAGGGTTTTTTTTCCATGCTACCCACAAGCAGGGTTTGATCCTCTCTGTCCCCAAATCCCCATAATTTGGGATGGCCCAGGGAACTCCTGCCACTCCGAGGTCCCTCTGTGGGATGGGGAAGCAGATCCCACCCCATTCCTGCAGGACAGGGGGTTTGAAGGACCCCACAGCATCGGAGGCTGCAAGGTAGGGCCCCATCCCATAAAATCGGGGAGGGTTTGCTCCAGAATTCTGGGCACGGGACCCTGGGCAGCCCGGGAGGCACAGCAGCACCCCAAAACCCCCGTGGGGTGGGTGGGTGAGGGGGGATCCCGGAGGSCGCTGCGAACGCGGCATCGCCGGGGGCGGGGGGCGGCGTTGGCCGGCGATCGTCGATTCGAGGTGCATTCCCAAGATTTTAGTTAAGTGTAACATAAAACTGTGAAAGTTTAGCGGGGGAAAAGCCTTCCTCCCACCGACCTGGCCGGCCAATCAGGAGGGAGCCCCGCACCTCCCTCACTTCTGACAACTATTTAGCAACCGAGCTCAGCTAAAGTTTCCAAAAAGTTAGAATAACTTCCTCTCTCCAAGACCTCAATTTTT